GTGTTTGTGTTGCGATGTCAGCTTTTGCAATGCCCTCTACGCGGTAACGGTGATGTGGGTTAGTCCGGGCGGCGGGACGACAAAGGCTGGAAGAGGGAGGGCATGTTGCATCCACAGCGAGTTTGCTGTTTCCACATAGTTCTTGTTGGACCATCGGCCGTCCTGAGTGGAGGAAATCTTTGCCTCACATTTCGTAGGCTATTGACATGCTTGTGCGACGGTTTGTGGTTAGTGCTGAAGGTTTTTGCAATGTTCTGCTGATAGGCGGCCTTGTCTTCTCTGAGCCGATGAGCGCAGTGGTTACTTTGGACTACGTAGTCCCAATTTTGTGGTGGTGGAGATTCTCTGTACACTCGCCATGCTGCGTTGCGTACAGTCATCCATTTTCGAGTTCTGCTCCCAACGAAAGAAACTGATTTACGTTTATTGCAAACGATTATCTCTGAAGTCTATGCAGGCAGCTGACTGAATTTGTTGGCGAACTAGAACCAGGCGACATCCGGGGGTTCTTCGCCAAGAAACCGTCAGGTTGTCGCACCGACGAGCTGGGCTAATCGATCATAGCTTGTGATGGTTCGCGCAGTCTTATCGTTCTCATGCCGATATTCCACATAGCAGACGAAGTTGAAACTGATGACTGCGTGATCACTGCTACCCAACGGGCAGTCTACAAACAACACATCAATCATATGCTCCTCGTTGGTAAGCACAAGATCCAGCAGAGATGGCCAGTTACCTGTTCTAAACCGAGTGGGCATAGTGCTGTGATTGGATAGAGGAACAGTGGTTACGAGATCTTGTAAATTATCTTTGAATTGTTCGCCGATAATGGCAGAAGTTTCGTAACTACTTACGTGGAAATCACCCATGATAAAGAGGTGAGTGTACTTTCCATTTATGCTACATGTTAAAGCAGCCACAAGATGGCAGTCGGTTTCGGGTGTAGAGTTAGGGGCGTTACACCAAGATAGTATGACAAGCGTCCCTGCCGTTTAACTGCAACCGACACCAAACTGAGTCTGGTAACTGTGAGTCTGAACCCTCCACGGCTTCGCGCTGCAAGTCGCTTCGGTAATACAGAATTACCCCTCAATCTTCTGAGAGCCTATCATTCCGGATCAGTGAAGTATTCAGTAGGGAAATTTAGCGTCCGTCACTCTTGTCAGCAACCACCTCTTAGGGACACCGACGATGTGCTATGACCCGGAAACTTGGCGGCCTTGCAGTTTGGCCAGTTTATTAAAAAGACCCTGAGAATCCGTATACAAGCAGGCGTTTCTCGGTCTCCAGGAGCCCACAGAGGGGTGAAGGGGTCAATAGTGGGAGAATGCCCACCGATGGATTGTCGGCAGTTACTCTTTTTGTTGGGATAGTGATACCTCGTCTGTAATCCGATTCATGAGCTCCTTTCCTAACCCCATACAAGTCAACTTGATGTGACTCAGGGTTCAGTTTTAGGGCCACGATTACTTTTCGTGATTATTAATGAGCGTGCGTAAGCAGTTATTGTAAACTTCCTGCCGTTTGCCGACGACATCAGCGTTTGGAGCAGGGTTTATGTGAATTGCAACCAGCATTTGCTTCAGAGTGACCTAGACACGGTACATCAATGGTCAACCTAAATTTTCTTGCAATGACGTGCGAAGATGCAAGGTACTCTCCATATCACACCAGATCAACTACTCAAACAGGATTGGAATGTACTTACTACAGCAATCTTGTGTCGAACGTGCCCGGTGTGTTGGTTAAAGATGACTATGATTGCTCCCGGAACGCCGGAGACATCGAAGGCTGGAAACCAACGCGTCGGGCTGTTGAGGCTGATGTTCGGTCAAATAGAAATCTATTTTTTCGATACATGCGCAGTGCATATGTTCGTCCCCATTTCGAATACGCAACTCAAGCTTGGCATTCATGGCTAAAAGACGACCTTAATGCTCTGGAATAGCCTGAACGTCGGGTACCCAAATGCGTCGTTGGAATGCGTAATCTTTCATATGAGCATAAGCTGAAAGTATTGGTATTCACGGGACAATATGGCAGATTATGGGGCGCTTTGACAGTGGCTTACTTGCTTCTGCACGATCTACATTAAGTTTGCCGCTCGTTACTGCAACTCCGCATCAAATCTGAGAAGTCATTCATCGAAACTTGCAGAATAGTGTAGGCACCTGGAGTGCCGAAGGAATCACTTTTCCATTCTTTTATGTCACATGTGGAATGCTCTCCCTGAATCTGTCGTTTTTGCACAGACAGTAGCAATATTTAGAAGACGATTGGATGTCGCATTCATTCACCTACACTTGGGCACTTAGCACTTTGTCGCCATCCTACTCCTGGAGTGTAGCTTAGATTTATTTGCGTTTACTACGTGGATTGCAGGACTACAGCGGAACAAACGAGAAATCATTCCTTTCAAACAGTTTTATTAAACTTTTCTGATGACCATACCAAACTACTCAACGTGACTTGTAAATCTGTGATTCTTACCCCGTACAAATTCATTGTTCATTGTACGCAATTGATATCGTATACGTGGCAGCAAATCCAGCTGAGCTGTCACTGAGGCTCGATCAGGTCCTGATTCGAATAAGGGACTACGGATTACACCCACAACCGGAGAATCGCTGTCTACTGCCACCGTAATTTAAAATGCTTGGAATTTTCATTAACCATAACGGACGTCGTCCCAAGCCATCTATGGCCAACACACTAGAACCAACAGAATTTGCGACCTGGCCTTTTTTCCTTGGGACATTTGGTCTTTACTCTTAGTCTTTACCAGAAACACATCAGTTGCGAACACCCATAGCCAAGTGTAACCGAACCACTAAGTGTCAAACAATAGCCGACCAAATAAAAACTGCTTACTTCCGACCTCTTTTTACACAGTTATGAGCTAAAGATTACTGTTGCGGTAGTATCCGAAGCTGTTTTATGCCCCATTTTCTTAGACTGCTTTGTGGAGATGGAATTAGAGTTTCTGTATATTCATGGCATCTGACCACGAACATGCTACATGAGCCAAACGTTCTGACGTGCTTGCTTTGTTGACATTCTTTTATGCCTTTTCAGATACCAGTAGGCGCAATATCCGGAGACATTACCTGTTTTCATGCCTCTCCTCTTTGGACTCCACTACGCAGACAAAACTGCAAGCTCTACTTCCCCCCTGATGTACACCTGGATTCTTCCCCCAAAATTCGTAATGCTGCGACGCTGTTAGAAAGTGTACTTTCTTATGCATTGACGGTGCCTTAAGAACCGGGCTTAACTGTGTGTCATGACCCACAACAGTTCGGGTGAGGCATGGAAGCCATAACGTGGTGACGTTCGTTGCCGTCTTCGGAGGTTGTGCATTCCATTTGTGGGAAAAAAATATTCCACACCGCGGTGACCAGTCCAATTATCATACGTAGATGGACTGATACCAACGTCTCTGCGTATCGACTACCTCCGTCAAGTATATGGGCGCATGTGGCCGATAAACGATCATTAGGGTGCCGGGAGAGGAACTCACATATAGTGAAGATGTGATTTCTGCCTTTCAGTACGAATTTATTGTCACTGCTTGTTGTTGTCATTTCCGAATGCTGGAAATGGATGCGATGGATGCATGATCACTACATGTTCCTGGCAGATCCAAAACCATCTTTTTCTGTTCTCGCGTGATCTGTGCGTCCTTAGTCTGCAAGTGATCAGGTGACACGGAATGGTGCCAGCTCGCAGTGCTTCTCTCCGCATTGTCTTGTACAAATAGTTCTTTTTTCTTCTTATCGAGTTGGTTCAAGATCACTTGGCTGATGGTCGACAGATGACCAAGATTTCATCGTTGTTACGCAATTGTCGACTGATCACTAGTACAATAACCAAACTCCACTGCAGTTAGCTCGCGAATACCACACCCATCTGTACGATATACGTATGAGTAAACAGTTTCATAAATGCACGATAGCCAAATGACCTACGTCAGTCACTGTGCACACTTCATGACCAGGATAGAATGGTCCCAGTCGCGTTTAAATACAATACATTATATCTGTGGACTAGTGTGGACTAGGGATCACTTTATGGCTTTGCACGTTTCGAATGAGCCCCATGCATGATGGGTTTGTCAAAAGAACAATTTGGTGCGATGGTACTGAAGATCGAACAGCTTGTCACTGACTGTTGAGGTGACGGATGAAGGCGATGGTAAAAAGAATAACGGTAAACGTGACAAAAACCAAGTACAGGTTAATGGAAACAAAAATATATTGACCGTGCAACATTTATTTTTGGACGTTTGATGACACATTTGATGTGCTAGATTTAAGGCGTCACTATGCACATCCACAAAGTTTAGCTTGTTTGCTCTGTCGCAACCAACACCACATAGACCCACTCAGACACCAGAAGAGGGTTTTCAGATGTACTGCTGTTCGTGCCATTATATTTACGCCCATTCATGCTCAGCTCATTCAGCTTTCATGAGATTTCAACGCGAACGATACTCCGGGATATCGACTTGGTCCCACCCTGCTACATCCATGATCCTGTATCCCATGTGGTCGGTTATTTTTGGTGCTTTCAGTTATGTTAATATCATAGATAGGGAAATCCGCTAAATTCATAGACATCAAACGATATTCACCAGTTCTAAATGTTTTGGATCGATCCCGTTGGCTATGGAGATAATGGTCATTCTCTGCACTCAGCGTCACACGTTATCCAGAACAACCACCTATCGTTCGATTTAGTTTGTGCAGACCGCAGCATTCAACCGTGCGGATGTGATCTACGAACTGGCATGCAGCCGCCCCCGTTCCCCATCGCAACTATCCACGCGCCAAACATCCAGTGCAATTGCCCACTGTCCTACCTTTCCCTCACATAACGATGGACTGTCAAGTGTGTTCCATTCAAAGTGCTTATGGAGGTTCACACTGCACACATACACTCCAGCTGCTTATTGATTGAGGCACAGCTTTCCTGATTGGCTTCCTTCAAGCATTTGTGCCCACATACTTATGCGCCAGCTGGAAAGATTTATCCACCTTGAAACTTAACAGCGGCCGCGGTCACCAGAAAGTTGTTCCTAGAACGAACACTCACGTAAAGTCAACTAGTACTGAAGAAAGCATTCAAACATGGACGGGATTAAGAAGAAAATGATTGCCATGAAATTAGAGAAAGAGAATGCGCTGGAAAGGTTTTCCTGTATTGCATCCTTAACCAACCTCGTCATTTAGAGCAGTACAGTACGAAAGTCTTCTAAAGAAAAAAGAGGAGGAACGAGAAAAGAAGGAGGCTGACATTGCAGAATTGAACAATAAGCTCAAACAGGTTCAAACCGAATGTGACGAAATTCAGGAATCGCTTCAGGAGTCTTTGAACAAGATGGAAGAGACAGACAAGCGAGCCACAAACGTGAGTTCACTTAGGCTGTGCGTTGCAGTTGACTTCAGTAAACATCCTTGTGAGTCCCAATCTCCAATTGCTCAGAAAATGGAATAGTTCATTTTAAGTCCTTTAACACTCGGTGTGTTTTGATGAATCATGGATGTAAGGGCAATTTCAGTGTTTGGTTCAAAATAAAGAAAAACGTAGGTACTAGCCATTTGATCATTAGCAAACACAAGTTTTGGAGCAATATAACTTGCAATTGCAACTCGTTTAGCCCCTCCCTAAGGAATAACCAGGTCATCTTACATAGGGGCGCTGTCGGTCGGCGTACCTTTTCGTAGCTTAAGCTGGTATGTAATCTATTTGATATTGTTGGCTTGCGCCTCCGGTTCTAGTCGTTAACGATGTCACGCATGACTTGCCAGCTACGGCACAGAACACAAAGACAGCTGGATCCAAAGTATATTGTACAGACTAGGAGGAATGGAGAGCAAACCAACGAGTGCGAGGGACTACTTAGTGTGAGCCTCACTAGAATAAAATTGAAGGCGGATGTACAAACAGTTATACAAGTGGACAGTCGGAGGGTACCAACAACAATAAAAGCCAGTTTTATGTAAGATTGTAAGGGTGTATGCATTTTTACTACAGTATCCATATGTCATATGTATGGCTCTCATTATGTCATGTAATGCGATGCTACAGAAAACCCATCATGTAAAGGAACATGAGGTAACTTTACCCACTTCTATCCAAAGTAAAAATTTCGCTCATATGATTTCGATACACGTAGTTCGTGTCAGCCTTCTGATCATTAAATTCGATGCTATGTATGGTAAAATGCCGGCTTATACTATCAACTGATGACCACTCGAACGTGTCACTTTGAATTTTCATGTAATATCTAGTATTTTTGGGGCTCACGAGCGTTTGTAATGGGCAGCGTTTATTGAGCAAGAAATAAACGGCATTCGCATGCTACGCAGACGACACCTGGATTGGATAACAGGTTTTTGCGAAATGTACACTGCCGAGTCAATTCGAAACCAAGCATGTACAGATAACCGTATCCTATACCAAGTCAGCGTGACAGCAGCAACTCTGAACCGTATAAAAGATCGCGGAATACATAACGCTGGGTAAATGTCGACTAGCAAACGCTTGGACCGTGGAAGCAGAAAGCGATATAACTTCCCAACACGCTCCAAACCCCCACCATACTTGTGTTATGCCCATAATCCGCAGGCATCATGTCCCACAATATAGCATCATCATCATTATACACGTTAGCTAGAGGTGTAAAACCCCTCAGCTATTGTGTCGCAATACATAAAGGAAAAAAGCAAATAAATACAACGTTTGCATGCCAGCTGAGTTACCAGCAACGGATAGGCATCGTTCCGGAAAGTTCACAGCCGGCCATTAGACAAAAAGAAAAATTATGATGTAAGATTACACTATGTTACGAAATGAGATCGTGGTTTATTGGGGAGACTAAAAGGTATGGGGAATGACAAAAATGCACAGCACGAAAGCCACTGAGGTCGGTTCTTAGCTGTTATAGGACACGGACACGATCAAAAAGTCACGATGGCGGCGGGCGGAAAACAGGCGTTTATTCAGTATAGGGTAGCCTATTTAAAAGAAATAAACACTGTTAATCTTCGAGCCTTCTCAGTGGGTCTTCTGTTTTACGGTTCACCTCATTGGTCGCGTTCCCCTTTTATTTCATTGGGTTATGCTATTCCTCTTCGGTCGCTGTCTTCCTGTCTCGCGCAATGATCACATCTTTCGTGCTTGGCATCTGATTGGCCGTATTTCTTTGGACCGCTCATATTCGGCTTTGCACTCTGAAACTTGCCGTTAATAGCGATTCTCGAGTTGCCAGTGCGCCCTCTATGTTCTATTGTCCAATCCGGTTTGTCGGTTTCTGGATACGTGTGCCACTCGTGATTCGCTGTCCAGCCATCGCTGTGTCTCCCGGTGGGTTCACGCGTTCTCTCGATCGAACTGATCTGCTGACTCCGGTAACCTGCGCTTAGGTGGTAAGGTCGAGCATACTGGACCGGTTTCCTAAACCCCGTTACATTAGCCATATCAACAAGTGTATCCATCCAAATGTGTTCATCCTCTTTCGGACCCCAACCAAGGAGACGCTAAGCTCCAACCGAAGCAAGCTCCGAAGTGAAGGCCTTCATTCCCCTGGACCAAGTCATCGCTTGGTCACCCATCCTCTTTTTCCATCCACACCCCCGGCGCGCAAACAACACACGTCGCGGCAGTCGGTGGGCTGGATGCGCAACACGTGGCCGAGCCATCCGAGCCTGATACGTGAAATGACGGCGTAGAGCCGTTCCGACCCATTTCCTGTGCCATAAACAAGGCTTGGAACACACTGGTTGCTCATGCGGTGTTCGCACCAGATGTGAGCCAAACTGCGATGGCACCGATGGTCGAACGTAACTAGCCTCTTTATTTCGGCTGACCTAAGGGGCCAGGTTTCACAGCAGCGTAGTAGGGTCGAACGCACCGCTGCATAGCATACTCTACCTTTTAGGGCGAGAGTGATGTCACGTCGCTGCCATAGCTGGCGAAGACTAGCAAAATAAACTCGAGCTTTTGCTATACGGTTCGTGATCTCGTCTTCGATCCCAAGAGCGCTGATACAACTTCTCAGGTAGTTGAATTTCCGAAGGACTACTACCTGATCCCCACCAAGGCTCATTGCAGCAGGCGATCCCTGCCAAGCTTGGAGGAAAGCTTTGCACTTCGATGGTGCAAAGCAAAGCCCGAAGCGGCTGACAGCCAGCGCTAATCAGTCCAGCGCAGCTTGGCACGTCTGAGAGCTGTCACAGATGAAGGCAATGTCGTCTGCATACTCCAAGTCAAGAAGTCGTTCTTCTGGGAGTTGCTCCACATCTTCTAACATGTCCTGTAAAAGTAATCTCCATGACTTCGTCAATAGGGACGTTGAAGAGGAAAAGTGACAACGGGCATCCATATATCACACCACTGGAGATATTAAAGGGCGACGACAGCTTGCCTTAAGCCCTCACTCTGCCTGAGCTACGCGCGTATAATGCTCGGATAATATTTACATATTTCGCGGGCACACCTTTCCTGAGTAGACAATTCCAAAGGGCACATTGATCAACTGAATCGAAGGCACCTTTGATGTTGAGGAACACGACTACAGTGAGCCACCAAAATGTGTGACGGTGCTCCAACAATTGACGCAAAGGGAAGATGTGGTCGATGCAGCCGCCTGCGATAGATCATAGTGTTTATCAGCAACCTTGCAAGCGTTATCCCCTTGCATTTTTTCTTTCCGCTGGGGATGCAAATATCTGGGGACCTATTAGTAGCAGTGACCATCACAATTCTCTCCAAGGTTACTACAATTGTGTTTATGGACGCTCGAGAAGATGTCTACTCCAGTGTGCTGCGTACGCATACATGGAAACCAAACTTTGTGGAAACTTCGCATAAGCATGACCTAAGGAGACCGGCTCAAAACGGACGGCCACCCGAAAAACGTCGAGGCATCGAAATCGGACCAAACATGTTGGCCTACTCTCAATCTTTACAACACCTGTGTCAAACCATCTGGGATAGGCTACTCAGGTGCGGCATCCTGTCGCTGCACTCCTGACTCCACAACGAAGGGCATCCCAGAACGTCAGTGGCAACTTCCATCTGCCCTTCGAACTTACGCTGAAGTCCATACAAATGTATATCATCCGGTGTGCGTACTTTCGGGGAGATCTCATAGTGGCTTACCCTATATTTAAAACCCCAGCCATCTTTCAGCACCTAGCTGGAACTTAGCAAGCACATCTAACCAAAAGGCCATCCTCTAACTTTGTCTATGAATTATAGCCGGCTAGCATGCTATGGACATTTCTACTTCCTCCTTGGAGTGAGCTATTTGTGGAACGCCATACCACGTATGTGGGTTCTGACGCTTTTCAAGTCATTTGAAAAACATTTTTACGACTTCTGCGGCATTTACATTAAAGCATAACTTGTACTCGCCAGGAGGCTACATAGCGCAGCTAAATGGCGTACTCCAAAATCTAACTACCTGAATATAAACGTTTATCGTGAGAACATATCTGCGAGTTCACCACTGAGCATCATATTTTTCTGACATTCTTCCATAATTTTTCAATCTTCATCTATAGCACCTCCAGGAACCGGCTAAGTAACAGCTTTTTTTTACCGACTATATATCACTGATCCATTATTGATCTGTCGCTTTGCGGGAACAGTTTCTCGCGCCGTCAGCACTGGAACAATGGTTTATGACAAATGAAACCGCATAGGCTTAACATCTCCCGTAGGTTGGTAATGGAAGGAATTGCAAATTGGAATACTATATAAGTGGACCGAATAAAATGCTTGGCCAATAAGCGATAGCGTAGTGACGAATAGAAAGGTTGTGGGATTGAGATAGTACCTGGAGATAAGGAATGCTAAGTTATTATTTTAACTGCTTAAAGCAAATAACAATCGGAATGCTCACCCTCTCCACAGATTTACGTGCGTCATAGTGGGTTCTAATTCCAAAGTAGCTCGTTAGCCTGAAAATATCTCGTAATATCCATTTACGTAACAAAGTATAGTGAGCTCAATGCAACGTCCACTCGTTCTTTTGAAAATGACCAAGATGGGGGCGCAAACAACCGAATTCGAAGATCGTTCCAAGTTTGCCAGACCCCAAGGGAGAACTAATATAATCAACAATCCAGAAAACTGTCTTTCTGAGTCAGTTACAGGCGACTGCCTCCAAGTTTGGTGTTCGGGATGACTTTCAAAAGCTGGCTGCAATCGTGACTGTGGTCGTTCAGTATTTGGTATACAAATATGAGGTTGTAAGAGCGCTGGTTTGGTGCGGAGTTCGGATTTAATGTCCCATCGTCTTTGGCTTTCATAAAGAAGTATAAGCATGTATTCCTATTGTTGTATTTTAATGCTCCCACGAATAATCACGTAAGAACATGAAAAGAAGCGTGATGATGGTA